TACACAAACCATTTTGCAAGTAAGGGTATGACGCGCAACTATGTTAAGGATTTATGACGGAACAAAGCAAAACTCATTTTAAAGGGACAAAAAACGTTAATGGAAAAAGAAGAAACACGCGTTACCGTAAGCCAAAAATTGGAATACAATGTTTACATGGCAATGATGTTGATGGTGTGCTATAGCACATTGGCTTGGAATATGAGATTTTTTAGAAATATCCGGAAGTACATGTATATGCGTCAGAAACGTCTTTGTATAGCCATCATATAACGCTACCTCGCAATATTCGCAGTTTTGATGTTTTGCGACATTATTCACAGGAATCTCGTTAAGTTTCGTATTTGAATATTGTAATGACCTATGACAATTATTGTCCATGCAAGTCCACGTCTTCGTATAGGCCCCAATATAACGATATTTTTTATGACTTGTGCAGTATTTTTAATGTTTTTTTTCCTTTTTTAACAGAAAGAATATTTTCTGTATAGATCCAGATTTTTGTACAGCCCATCTATCAAAAATAATATGTAATCAGTTTGTAGCAGCCCCCATGTAACAGCTCCGCTTAGTTATTGGTATTGTAAAGTATTTAGAAACATTTTCCTGTCAAATTGGCTGTCAACTCGTTTTTATTGATATAGTTTTGTTTACCTCAAACTTACTTTGTAACATCTCAAAATGTTCGTTGGGGACCCCATAGATTATGTATTCTGGATCAGAGTAAAATTCTGTCGATTAAATTATGTCCGGGTGCCTCTTTGTCAGTCAATTGTAATCAATCTATTTAAAGCAAGTAAGCGAAGGCTACAGTCGTGCGGGACCCACAATGTGATACCCTACAACACTGCAACATATGTGAAAATCTCCTTAGGTCCGAACCCGTTTTAGTCAATTTTTTTTTAATAATGCCATACAGTTCCGGGAAAGAGGCCTTTCCGAATTGGTGAAAATTGACAAAATCAGTCCAGCGGTTTTTTGACTTATAAGCCGAATAACATCAATTTTTTGTACATCAGGTTGTAAATATTTTTCTATGTACCTGATATCTTGGCTTTCAGTATCACTGTAACGGCCAGAAGTAACACTTTAATGTATCTGTGATTTAGTTGGGTTAAAAATTTTCGCCGTTTAGTGGAAATTTTCATTTTTTTAAATAAAAGTTAATGTCTATTTTACTCGCTAAATATTGTTCGAGGACCATACAAAATGTTAGGCTACTGCCCAGCCCTAAACTCTAGCCCATGCTAAATTCCACGTCGATTGGTCTATAATTGCGACCTATAGAGCAGCTGCAAAATCAGGATTTTTTTCTGTTTTTAGGTTCATATCAACCCCTAATTATTATGCGATAATTTTCAAAAACAATAGGATTATTTTCTGACCTTAACTCCACCCCCATTCTCGATTATTAGGCGATCATTTCCAAAATCAATAGGATTATTTTCTGACCTTAACTCCACCCCCATTCTCGATTTCGCGAGGATTGATCCATAATTGCGACGTGCAACGTGATTACGATTTAACATGGACAGACGGACGGACGGACATACATAGCAAGATCCATATATAGTTTCCTATATCGGGGACCAATATTTCGGGGTGTTACATAATTTTTGGCAGGTTACAATGAGTCATTGAAACTTGCAGAATCTTGTATATTATGGGATGTTTGATATTATATATTGGTCCTCGGTTAGGTATAACTATCATATAATGGTGATATCTCCTAGTATTCTTTGATCAAATTTGCTCGACTTTGGCATTTCGGAAATAATCGTTCAATTCTGGTCCAATATGGAACATGTCCCTCTGTCGATGTTAGGTATTTTGAATCTTTTAAAGCATTTTAGGAAATAAAACCAGTAAAGAAAGTCTTAAAGTCGCTATGATTATAATTATAATTTAAAGTTCAAAGGACTAAATATGCCGATGCATTTGTATCTTTTAAATTCGGACTTGTTTTGCCCAATTGGTGCACAATTAATTTGAAATCGGATAAAAATATATATGGGAGCTATATCCAAATCGAAACCGATCTCGATAAAATTTGGCAAATATATTTCTTAGCTGTATTTCATATATTTCCCTGAATATCGTTGTTACGGAGTGCATATTACGGCTGTAGGTAACAAATATGACAAATCGGATGAACAGTATATATGGGTGCTATAGCTATATCTGAACCTATCTTCACCAAATTTGACATACTAGCTTCTAGACTCAGTTCGGTCGTAAGTGCCAAATTTCATCTAATTTGGGCAAATATTAGACGTTTGGTGCACAATCAAAGGTAAATCGGACGAAGTTATATATGGGAGCTATATCCAAATCTGAACCGATCTCGATAAAATTTAGCAAAGGTATTGCTGAGCTGCATTTGATATATTTCCCCAAATATTGTTGTTACAGAGGGCATATTACGGCTGCGAACGACAAAAATAGCAAATCGGATGAAAAATATATATGGGAGCTATAGCTATATCTGAACCGATTTCGATCAAATTTGGCATACTTATTTTCAGGCTTAATTTGGTTGTATGTGCAAAATTCCATACTATTCGGGCTGATATTACATGTTTGGTGCACAATAAAAGGCAAATCGGACGAAGATATATAGGGGAGCTATATCCAAATTTTTACCGATTATCTCCAATTTCAATAGGGTTCGTCCTTGGGCCAAACAAATGATTTTTGTCAAATTTCATCTGTATAGGGCAATAAATGCGATCTGTACTTTGTTTACAAAAATACATGGACAGACGGACGGACGGACAGACGGACGGACGGACATGCATAATTCGACTCAGAATGTGATTCTATGCAGATCATCAAAAGGAACTATGGGTCTATCTTGTTTCCTTTTGCCCGTTACAAACAAATGCACAAAGACATAAAGACCACCTTGTGGTGTAGGGTATAAAAATGTATGTCACAAAATTCGCATAAAATCTACTATTTGTTGTATCCCCTATATAGCAGAACCTCTTGATATCCGGTATTTTTTTTTTTCTATTCTCACTGAATGGAAATTTGTCACAAAAAATGAGTAGTTTTCGATTCTTTAAACATCATAGTCCAACTAAAGTAACTAGAAATTCATAATCTCAATGCATTTTTGTCACAATTCTAAAATAGAGTATGACAATCGTGTAAGCACTCTGCATTCTCTGGTTAAAATTCTTCCCATGGTGATTACTTTAGGTTTTATGTTTAAATATATAGTTCCTATTATATGTTCATGGGCGTTTATTTTAGGAATGACTGAATATATTCTAAACAAGTAAGCAAAGGCTACAGTCGAGCGGGGCCGACCGTTGAATACCCTACAACACTATAATAAACGATACTGTTTATATAGGCGAGATACTCGAAAGAATTCCACAAGATATTGTGACAAAGAAAACCATCAGGTTTCGTTCTCTAATTTTCGAATAATAGCAACTTAAACTAATTTGCTAATTTCCAATTTATTGGTAGATGTTGCACTTAAATGGTCTTCGTAGATCATTAGTGGCAAAAGATTAACATTTATTATTGGTTTTTGACTGAAACGCATCTATATGAGATACAGGCATTTGACTATATTCTTCCACGAAATCAGCGTTAACGAAATAGAAGTGCGTCTTTCCTGTATTTGTGAGTTCTCCAAAGAGTCACTGGAATGGACATTTTCGTATTTTGTCTACAAAAGTTGGCAAACTATTTCGCACATTGAATATTTTTGGATGGCCATCCAAAACTATTTGGCTTTTGCAATGTCCGGTAACCTCCATTCAAATGCGATCGGGCGATAATTACGACTTGCTGAAAATTTTGCAGTTTTTTTTGTCCATTTCAACCCCTAAATATATGGCGATTATCTCCAAAAAGAGTAGGCTTCTATTCTGACCCTCATCTTATCCCCATGCAAAATTTCGTAAGGATCGGGCCATAAATGCGATCTGTATATGATATCCTGATATCCTAACTACTTAGTTTTGTTAGCTGTAGAAATATTACCAAATGTTTAATTCAAAATGAAAATATGCCAAAAATATGACAAAATTGAAAAAATATGAGAAAATATTATAAAATCAATATTTTCATCTTTAGAGAGATATTTTTATGCGATTTTTTAGGCGTTTTTTCTTTCTTGCGAAGAGGCCATTCTGAATTAATGTGAACTGTCGAAATCAGTTCAGCCGTTCTCGACATATAAGTGATCTTTCAAGCATATCTTCTTTGATAGACATATATATCGCACATATTTTGCTATATATCTGATTTGATGGATGTTAACATCAATGTAAAGATCGGAGGTAGCCTTGTCATGGCTTTTGATTTCGCCGGGATTTACAATATTCGCGGTTTAATGAAAAATTTTGATTTTTTTCAACACAAAAGATATGGTCTATTTTACCCGCTAAATATTATCCGATGACCACCCAAATTGGTAGGCTTCTTCCCCGCCCTAAACTCTAGCTACATGCGCAATTCCGCGTCGATTGGTCTATAATTGCGACCTGTACAGCAACTGCAAAATCAGGATTTTTTTCAGTTTTTGGTCCATTTCAACCCCTAAATATTATGCGATCATTTCCAAAAGAAATAGGGTTCTATTCTGACCTTAACCCCACCTACATTCTGAATTTCGTGAAGATCAGGCCATAATTGCGACCTGTAGAGTGATTACAAATTAACATGGACAGACGGACAGACGGACAGACGGACGGACGGACATACATAGCTAGATCGACTCAGCTCGGCGAGCTAGGAAGATCCATATATACTTTCCTATATGGGAAACCAATATTTCGAGGTGTTACATAAATTCTGGCCCAATCAAACTTATAATACCCCCAACACATAGTGTTGTAGGGTGTAATTAATAAATAAGCAGACAGTTAAATTTTTAAAAACATAATATTAATTTTTTTTTTTCACCTCTATTATATATATAACTTAAGGCTTCGTTCACCTATTCAATAGCTTAAAACTCATTCTTTTTATATTTACAGGGTCATACCGGACCACATGGTCCTGCTGGAGCTAAAGGCGAACCAGGACAGCCGGGTATACCCGGCATTAGCGGCTCTCCCGGAGCTCCTGGCTTGAAAGGCGATCGTGGTCTACCCGGCGAGATTGGCCCACTGGGGCCACCCGGACCACCAGGACAAATTGTTTATGCGGATACACCATATGGATTACAAAATACGACACAGTGTACTTGCCCGGCTGGTCCGCCTGGTCCAATGGGTCCACGAGGTCCTGCTGGCTATGATGGTGCACCCGGTTTGAACGGTGAGCCTGGTCCAGCTGGATCAATCGGTTTGACCGGCCTGCCTGGCAGTAAGGGCGACAAAGGCGAAAAAGGTTTGCGTGGCTTGACTGGACCGAAAGGTGATCGAGGACCAGAAGGTCCGCCTGGACAGGCCTTTTTCGCTGGTGGTTTCGAAGGCATGGCAATGAATGGCACCAAGGGTGAAAAGGGTGATAAAGGTATGCGTGGTCGTCGCGGCAAACCGGGAACAGCTGGACCAATCGGACCTCCGGGCAAACCAGGTATTATGGGCGAAATGGGACATGCGGTAAGTTATTATGTTTTTTACATGAACACACAATATATATAAATGCAGGTAAAGCATTCAGGTTTCGAATTTAGATATACGACATTTTTTTATATTTTTGGTTTAGATTAAGGCATAGAGTTCCAAATTGCCAATACATGTAGTTACAAATATTTATCGTAATTTTTTCAGCTTATTATGTTACCTATGTCAATATATGTTTTTCCAAAATTATTGCATTTTATATGGAAACTCCTCTTAAGAACAGATCTTAGCCAATTTAATTTTAGCACAATCCGATAAAATTTAAACTCATTGCGAATAAATGAAAAAAAAACAGTAAGGAAAAGTCAAAAGTCAAGCGGTGCCGACTATATGACACCTAACACCACTATGAGCTCCAGTAACAAAAGAATTAATTTGAAGTAGTCCATACTACCTATCGACATTTGGCCTTAGAGCAGTTAGAGGGAACTAATATATGGGAGGAATTTCCAATTCCGAATCGATTTTCACTTAATTTGACGGAGACATTTTTATATTTTATACCAAATATTAAAAAATATACATCGGTACCAAGTTCCACTAAATTGAAACGTACGTCCCGACATTCAGGGCTTAAAGGATATATATGGGAGCTACATTAAAATCTTAGTCGATCTCGATAAAATTTGACAAAGAAATTTCCGGGCTCCATAAGATATTTGGTATACAATATCATTGTTGTCAAACGCATATTACGTATGTGAAGGAATTAAAGACCAAACTGGATGTAACACAAATGTGTGAGCTATACCTATATCTGAACCGATTTTCACCAAAAGTACTTGCCGTTTGGCTGAATTCAGGTAAATTGGACTGATATTGGTCATGTGCTGCACATTTAATCCGAAATCGGTTGAAGATATATATGGGAGCTCAATCCAAATTTCAACTGATCTTGAGACAATTAGGCAGAGGCATTTCTGGGCTGTATCCAATATCTGGTACCAAATATCATTCTTGTGGGGTGTGTATTACGAATGTGAGGGACTTAAACACCAAATCGGATGAAACATATATCTGGTAGCTATAGCTAGATTTGGACCGATTTTCACAAAAAAATTGAAGTATTTTGAAGTGCTGTTAGACTGAATTCGGTCGGATGTCCCAAAATTCAGGTCATTTGGACTGATATTGGCCATTTGGTGCACAATTAATCCGAAATCTGTTGAAGATATATATGGGAGCTATATCCAAATCTGAACCGATCTTGATAAAATTAGGTAAAGGTATTTCCTGGCTGTATCTGATATCTGGTACCAAATATCATTCTTGTGGGGTGCGTATTAGGAATGTGAGGGACTTAAACACCAAATCGAATGAAACATATATATGGGAGCTATAGCTATATCTGCACCGATTTTCAACAAAATTTGAAGTACTTTGAAGTGCTATTAGGCTGAATTCGGTCGGATGTGCCAAAATTCAGGTAATTTGGACTGATATTGGCCATTTGGTGCACAATTAACCCGAAATCGGTTGAAGATATATATGAACCGATATTGATAAAATTTGGCAGAGATATTTCTGATGTCTGGTACCAAAGATCAATGTTGTGAAGAGCATATTGCGAATGTGAGGGACTGAAACACCAAATCGGATGAATATGGGAACCGATTTTCACCAAATTTGATTTACTTGATTCTAGACTGAAGTCGGTCGTATGAGCCAAAATTCAGATCATTTGGTGCAAAATTAATCTGAAATCTCTTAAATATGTCGTTGGGCCAAACAAATAGCGTTTGGAAAATTTCATCTCAATCGGATATGAAATGTGACCTTCAGTCTGTTCACAAAAATACATGGACGGACAGACAGACGGACTGATATACATAAATCGACTCAAAAAGTGATTCTATGAAAATCCTTAAAAGTAACTATGGGTCTATCTCGCTTCCTTCTTCTTACCGCTATGTTGTGTAGGATAAAAATAAAGTGTAGCAAAAAAACGCAATGCAATAATGTCAGAATTGTCAAATGTTCTTCGGCTAATGTTACACTAAGATTTATAATAATTTGATATTATTGATATTTTGTAGATTTTTTATTCATCAGATGGTAAAAATGTCCACGAAAGTTGTTAAATAAGGTCAACATTTATTCTGCTAATTTAATACTTAGTTTTTTTTTTAATTAATTGATTTTATAGATATAAAATAGATTTTTTCAATTCATTTTCTATTTTATACATACATCAGTTGGTAAAAAAGTAAAAAAAAAATATTAATTTAAAAATGAAATATGCTGAACCGATACCTATATAAATTGTATCTGTACTAAAATATATGTCTTATCTCACAACAGGGACGACCCGGAGTACCCGGACCGAAAGGTGATTTGGGGCCGAAAGGAGCCAAAGGCGAACCAGGCGGACGAGAAGGTGTAAGTACAGTTTGAAATCAATTTTTATGTTATTATTTTATCTTTCATAAATTTGAAATATCTGCGTAATGTCGGTGCAATACACAAGATACACAAAATAAGTCCCAAAAAATTATACAATGTGTTTTATCTTCACTGGCTTAATGAATAACACTTCTGCAATAATAACAAAATTTGTCTAACAAATAAGCAGTACAGAAATACAGCCTAAATGGAAACGGAAAAACGTTTTCATAAAATGTATTTCTGTCGGCAGCAGATATGTCATCAGAATCAAAATCTTAGGTAATTCCGTAAAAGAAATACCTGTCAACCTCAAACTTTCATCGCAATCCGATAGGTTTCATCAAACCGCACCGACCACCCCCTGTCAGAGACTTGTCTCTAATTTTCTACCCTGCATGAAGCAGAGGCAATGGTAGTGCCACAACGAGACACTTCTGTCGCAGAAGAGAGAAAGCAGAAGGAGCGATAAAAAATTTAACGTAGCAGAGACTTATGTTAACCTAAATTTTGACAAACTACAGCAACGGTTATATTTTCCTCAGTACAGAAAAAAGTCTTCTCCTTAGGAAGCTGTATATTTGTATTTTTTTCTCGTTTATTTAACCATTAAATTCAGCAGGTAAAACTGAGTGACTGCTCAAAATAAAATAAAATAAAATAAAATGGTTATGACAGAAAGTAAAAGCGAATCAGAGAAGAAAAAAATACACATAAAACAAATCGGATTCGCCAGTTTCTTTATATGAATGTAGATGGGTAAAAAACGCGAAGAAGAAAAAATTGCCACTTAAGAATAAAATAAAACTTTGTAGCAGAGAGGAAAAAGAATGACACTTTAAATGATTTTTGGGGATTAATCTATAAAGGTTTTAGAGGAAAATGTAGAATTTATTTAGCTATGTATTTATAGCCCCAAACAACGAATTTTGTACTGATTGATAATTTTTCATCAGTTTAACATAAACGGTTATCTCTAGATTTCACATGTTTTGTATTTTTATGAAAAAAAAAAAAAAAATAGAAAATGAGACTCTAAAAAACTATTAATATTTTTCTTTGCGTGTGGCTCCCACTTAATATATTTTATAGATGTTACTTTACAGAAAAACAGGAAATTACTGATTTTCGAATTTATCGTATTATTCAGCTAATATAAGGATATGTGTAATCAAGCAGAATTTGAAGATAAATTGAAAAGAAGTACGCAAAGGCATTAGTTGGGCGGGCCAACCAAGTGATAGCCCATGCCAAGTTTCTTTACTTCTGAAACCCTTGCCATTAGATTGTAAGATCATTTAAAGTATGTCATGTTTTGGTCCATTTGATTCTTCAAATGTTGTCAAATATTGTCCCGAAATGTGAACCATTATTGATAATATGACATATGCCCCATTTTTTAGAGCAATGAATGATTAATTAATCTAAAGCTCTGTTCACATTTTCAAAACTCTCTATTAAATATTACGAAATACAACTACAGACTGCTGTCATATCTAAATTAAAAAAAAAAAAAACTAAATTAATGTTAAAATTATTATTAAAAAATCTCAGGATACCAATCCGTTGAACTATTGTGGCTGGAGTATTTTTGGAAGCAAGATTGGTACTAAAAAATACCAAAGTGTCGATCACCTCAAGTAAGTACTTCACCGGGAATGGGCCAAAATACCGCAGAGCACCATTCGGGCAGCGTGTGACGGTTTCATTGACAGTTTGAAGGCCATAATTCGTGCCAAAGGTGACTAATTTAAACAAATCTAACTTATTCTAAAATTTGATGCTATTTCCGACATTTTTTGCTTTCAATAAAATAAAAAAAAAATTAAAAATTATGGCGTTTGACTCATATGATTCACCCAATTTGGGGTTTTATACCCCTCGCATGCGTAATATGCACTCCACACAATGATATTTGGTACTAGATTCAGATTTGGATATAGCTCCTATATATTTTTATCCGATTTCAGGTTTATTATGAACCAAATGGCTAATATCAGACCAAATAGACTGCATTTTGACAGTTCCGAACGAATTCATCCTAACCACAAGTGCTTCAAATTTAGTAAAAATCGGTTCAGATTGAGCTATAGCTCCCATATAAATGTTTCGTCGGATATGGTCCACAACAATGATATTTGATAACGCACACCAGATACTGCTTGAAAATGCTAAATTTTAGCGAGATCGGTTCAGATTTTTATATAGCCTCTACATACATCTTCACCCGATTTTACGGTTATTGCTCACCATATATGTAATATCAGATCAAATTGAATAGATTTCTGCATACTCAGCCATTACCATTCGGTGAAACTCGGTCCGGTGTATCTATTGCTCCAATAAATATTTTTTAATATAATCCTTATCGAAGTCATATCATGCACTATACTGCAATGTTATTTGGTTCATAGGTGGTATGAACTACTTCACTTAATTCTGAATACAAACTTTTTTTACGAGAGCTCTACTCAATACGCATAGTGGTATAGGGTATCATATAGTCGGCCCCGCCCGACATTTGACCTTTCCATACTGGTTATTAAAAAAAAACCTTGTTTATTTCGGAAAAATTTAGCCCTTTCCATAATTCGGTGTATGTGTTCTTATAATTACATTGTAGAATAGCCTATCTGAGTTGTGGAAAATGCCAAGTAGACTTGATAGTAGTGTTTTTTAGATTAAAACCTCAAAGGCATCCCTGCTTCTTAGGCCAAATGTTGTTTGGGACTTTATGTAATTTTGACAATGTACAAAGGTATTCCTATAGTTTCACATATACTTCGCAATGTTTAGGGTAGAGCTTTGGGATTTGATAGAAATTTTTGGATTACATCCACAACCAGTGGTAAAGAAAATGGGACATATAGGTCTGCTTTTTGCATGATTGAAAATGATTTCCAATCATTTTCACGATTTTGCCATGTCTCTCTCATAAATTTGCCAAATATTAGCATTTTGAACTCCTATTATGTAAAAATTATATTTACAAAATGTTATTGATATACCCCATGATATAAATTATTTTGAGGTTCTGGGCCATATTTTTCAATCGATTTGGAGGAAATTTAGTATTTTGGTATCTTGGTGAAAAGAAAACTTTCCGGCTGAATATTGAGGTATATGTTACATCTTTACGATTGAAACTGTACGATTATTGAAATGTCAAATATTGGGAGGTATCGTTATGATAATTTAAGACAATTGAATATCGTGGGCTATATGGACATTTCATTGCCAGGTACCTTAATTCGCGTGGCACCATTATATGAGAAAGATATAAAATCGTGAACCTATATGGCTCATTTTAAATATCAAAATTTTACGGAACCAAAATACGGTTGCGTTGAATTATATAAACCTATTTCATCCCGTTCGAATGTTATTTTCAAAGACGGGCCGGCATGGCTAAATTGTCATACAATCTTCTGCCGATCCAGAATATATACACCATAATGGGGTATTAAATGCTTATTTCGAAGGGTTACTATTCATCCATTATTCTATGGTGAAGGATATAAAAAATAGAGTTATCTTATCAAATGTTTGTGTAGGTTTTTCATAAAAAGAAGTAAATATCGAACAAGTAAAAAAGCAGTAAGTTCGGCCAGGCCGTTTATGGAACGAATAAGGACATTTTCAAAAAATAAAAATAAAATCCATTAAAACTTCTGTTAAAATCTCGGAAGGTGCCGATATATGGGGGGATAAAAGATATTGTGGACCTATATAGACAAATCTATGTCTAGGGATAAAGTACTCACAAATAACTCCTTGTATAGAATTGAAGACAATTCCGTTTAAAAATGTGGCTAAAATCATCAAATATCGAATATCGGGGGGTACCGTTATATGGCGGATATAAGATATCATGGACCTATATAAAAAAATCCCTGTCAGGGGGTAAAGTGTTCACAAAGAACCCCTTGTGTATAATTTTAGACAATTCCGCTGAAAAATGTGGCTAAAATCATCAAAATACCGAATATCGGGGGGTACCGTTATATGGGGGATATACGATATCGTAGTTCTATATAGACCATTCTCTTTCAGGTGGTAAAGTGCCCCTAAAGAACTTCTCGTGTGGATTTTCAGACTATTCTATTAGAAAATGTGGCTAAAATCATCAAAATGCAGAATATCTGAGGATACCGTTATATGGGGGCTATACGATATTGTTGACCTCTATATGATTTTCTTAATTCGTTTAGGCTGTAGCGTGATTACAACAGACGAACAGACGTGCAGGGCTAAATCGTCTTAGAATTTTACACTGATCAAGAATATATATATATATATATATATATATATATATATATATATATATATATATATATATATATATATATATACTATATCTATATATATATACTTTGTTGGGTATAAAATGATTATTTCGATTAGTTACAAACGGAATAACGAACTTAATATACCCTCCATACTATGTATGGTGGAGGGTATAAAAATACATTCGAAACGGTAATGCAATATCGTTTACATTTTTAAAATATCTCAATTTTAGGATTTCATTTTTTAAGAAGGTAGAAACTTGTTTAACTATTTGTATTGTAGATTATTTCAGGCCATATGGAGAATGATTAAATTCGGCAATGCTTGTTTGGTTAAATTTTCTCAATCATTCTAAAATACACGGAACACCTAAGGTGCCACAATATCTTGACTATTAACTTTGCTTGCATGTATGTATAAAATCCATTTCCGTCATACACTCTCTAAGTTGGCCGTTCTACTTTATGTGTGTGTAGGAAAACTGCAAGACTTTAACGACTAATAAAGTCCCTTGTTAACCGCATCCAGAACGAAATTCATAGTGTTAGTGGTTTACTGAATATATGAAGTCGTTACCGAGGCAGTGTCATTTTGATTGCGACGCGACTCTTCTGAACTACTCAACTAGACTACTTCATAGACTCATTACCACAAATACTGGAATATGAAAGAGAACGTGGAGTGGCATACATACATACATAAATGTA